GTTAAATTTGGTTGAATAATGGAGGAGTATGAGCATGTTGACCTCCAATATGGCTGCCAATGAGAAATAACTCGTGAATTTGGGTCTACTGAAAACTATCTATTGTTGGAAAGTTGTTACATGATGCTCAGGTAACCTATTTGACATATGTGCCTCTTGTTTTTAAGTGTAATCATGATTATAAAAGTCATTGAAAACATGAGCATGATGATTGATGCTTTTGTTCGGAGAAAAATGCCCGAAAAGACTTCTTAAAGGCAGAGATTTTTTACCTGGTGGTAAATTCCAAGTGAGGGAGGGGCTTATTTTGTACAGGTGTGAATGCCTTGGAGGCTAGCAGTCTACTTGTGGTCATCTGTCACCTAATCCCTATACACAGGAAGTGATTTAATACACTGTGAAATACCCTAAGTGTCAAACTTTACCTGTGTTGCAGATTTTGAGACAATTTGAAAATTAGTAGTAAAAGGGTTTTTCAATCATATATTGATTTATTTGACTGTTTGGAAATATCCCTACCTGTTTGAAAAAAAAAAATTATATCATACTATAAATTTAAATATTAAAAAAAGATCGTTTTAGATGTTAGTGGATGTGTAAATAAAAAAAAACTCCTGTAACAACCAAATTAGACTTAATTCATTCATCCCCAGGATCCCACCTATTGATTAAATGAAAAGAGAGCCTTGTTAACTACATTTTACTAAAAAAAAATATCTAGATTTATCATAACCTAGCTTAATAAAGCTTTGTCACCATGATACATGCTAAAAGATTGCTTGAAAATTCTTATTTGATTAAAAAAGGAAAAATATATAAAGTGACCCATGATTAGAAACATTATTTTTTATTACTAGTACTTCACACAGTGCTTCTCTGAACTTAATTAATAACATTTCCACTTTAGGTTTACCATTTCGCATATAAAAATTAAGATCGAAATTTCATTTGAAAAAAAAGTTTTATGTACCAAAGTTTTTTTTTTTTAATGTATATTCTATAATAATCCTTTCAAATACTAAATGTATATTTAATTTGTATATAATCTAAAAATTTTATAGTATTACAGTTTCTGTATACTGTGTTCAGTAAATATCAAAGGATCGAAAGTTAATTAGAAGGACACCACAAGTCCCAAACAAGATGTACAGGGTATACACAGAGATCAGTAAGTAAATGTCAATCAGATTCCAGCATCCAATGATGTACCTTCATGCACTTGATTGACAGGGCTACCCAGACCAGGTATTTTTGAAGGCGGTGCTTAAAACCTTGTAGAATGGCCTTGAAGGCAAAATGATATTTCTCAGGTGAACAGATGAGTAAATCTTTGCATTAAATGTAATTTATTTTTGCGGATTTTATGAGGTAAAAATTAATGAAATTTTCACAGAATCAAGAGGACAATGTCACTAAATGATGGTATCAGTGAGATTAAATTTGACCGCTAAATATCAGAGGCAAGGTCAGGTCAAGGTCATTACCTTTTCCCTGGACATTAAGAATATAAAATTACTGTTTCCAATCATGCGATTCCTACTTGTAAATCAAAAGATTGAATGTTTTTCTCTTTCCTTAAAAAGATACTACCATATAGAGCATAGAAAACGATATTATCAAATTGTCATGGATAATTTAAATAAAATGGATATTTGCTAATCCGAATTTCCTCTACTTTTCTTAAATTTTTAAGGATTTATTAGTTATTTTTATAGTCTTCCTATATTTAACTTTTTCTAATTTTCACATATAGTAAAGTTGTCACATAAAGGTACAAAATGATACAAAAATCAAAAGTTTTGATCGTTTACTAAGAGAAATAACACTTTTTACGGATTTTTGGCTCAAATCTGTACTCAGATTTGAAGCATTTAAGCGCCAACATAGTTCTAGTATGTGTGAAAAAAACTTATTTATTTGATTATTTTGAAACTATAGTCCCTAATTATTAATTTAACTAACATTTGAAAATTTCATCTAGTCTTTGATTGCGTTAAAAATTATAACTAAATTCAATATTCTATGATAATTTTGAGAGGCAGAAAAAAAGATATTTTCATACGCCATCATTCTGCCAAAAATATAGTCTCTGCTAGTTTTCAGACGCAGTTTACCATTTCTATTTAAAGTTGTTTAATTGTGACGAGGAAAGAAAAATATGGTCTTTTAAATATCTTACATCTAAATATATAAGACATATCAACCAATGAACATTGAATATTCCATCTAGTCAGAAACCAGAGAAGAATCCTACCGTAAGATTCCTCAGATTTCAATAGTGCCCCATCACTACAGAAACTACTGACCCTGGGGCCACATATTTCACAATTTTCGAAAAGGCACCTTTGGTTACTATAAAAGGTTAATTTTAAAATACCAAAGAGCAGATCGACTCAGGGGCCATGAAATTCACAGTTTTACTCATATGCACATAGTTTACTGGTATATTACCCAGGACCAGAGAAGATTTTTAAAGAAATAATACATTTTCACTATATATTCAAGAGGGCCCCGTCTTTAGCACCAGAGCCCTTGATCCTGTGCCATGATTTTTCACAATTTTGGTAGAGGACTCAATGCTCATTACAATCATGCCAACAGTTTGCTTGATGTCCAGGAAAAATGAAGATTTTTTTTTTTAATTGCATTGATTTTAATGGTTTTTGTCCTACCCCTCAGGCCCCAGGGTACAGGGATCACGCAATTTTGGAAACCAGATGTGGATACGTATAAATCCAAGGAACTTTTGTAAAATTTGAAATAAGAAAATTTTACCAAGACCAATAACATCAAAACAAACATCTTTTCAGCATTTTATTCAGCCACTTCTTACAGAAATTTTAAGTTCAGGCCTTTTTACATCATTGAAAGCTGCTTTTTAAATAAAATGGAAATTTACTTATCATACGATTCATCATTTTTTGCAATTTATTTCTTAAAGACACTCTAAATGTACACATAATTACTCTAAAGTTGATATTTAAAAGGTACTCGAGTTTCTGATTGACAATATATATGTGGCTTTTGGAGACCAGGTCTTCCAACCATCCATTGGAATTCCCATCAATACGAATTGCACCTCGTTATTAGCAGACCTATTTTTGTATTCATAAGATGCAGACTTTATACAAAATCTTATACATGAAAAAAAAAATCTTGCTGTGGACTTCAACTCGACATTTAGATATAACGATGACTTATCTTTAATCAACATGATTATTTCCATTCTTATGTCGATACGATATATCCCGGTAAGTTTCAAATGAAAGATTCCACAGTGTATGGCATATCTGAATAATTTACTATAGAAAAGACGTTAATGGTAATCTAACAAGTAAACGTGATGGCTTACTTGAATCGTAATTTCCCTTACGTCTGCCGCAATATACCGTTCGTTATCATCTTCATACGGTGTTTATATCTCGCAGTTGATTCAATACGCAAGAGCATGCTCTATATAGGAACAATTTCTAAAACAAAGCAAATCATTGACAAACAAGTCGATGAAATAAGGATATCAGCAGTTTTGTTTAAAGTCATCATTTCGTAAATTCTATGGTCGATACAATGACCTTGTCAGAATATTCAATCTATCATAAAGCCCCGTGATCAAAAAAATCATCTTGAGCTTAAGTCAAAATTTTTACTTTATACTTAAATGTTTAAAAGTCAGCAGACCAAAATTAGACTTTTCCCCAATATTGCTTCACAAAAATAAAGTTATCTACAAAGGGTATTTCAATAAACCATCCCGGAGGCAAGTCCTCCAAGAATCTCCCACGTGTACTAACTCATTAAGGTGGAATATCCCTCTGATAAGAAAGATAACTTTTCTGATAAGAGAGATAACTTTCTTCAGACATTTTGTCATGAAATTCAGTGAATTGTACTGTCAGAGTTTACAAGTTTCATTCATGGGAACCATTTTATGGTCAACTCAATCAATCTTATTCTATGGTACAAATGTTGATTTATGGTTTCTATTGCTAGTATGTACATTAATGATTTTTAATAATTTACTTAAAACATTTATACTCAGTTCCTTTAAACAGTGTAAATTGAGAAATCTCTATCTCTTAAAGTATAATTCTTTTAATTGTACAGAAATTTCAGATGCAGTATTGTTTATAAACATTTAATTAATATTTTGTTTCATTAAAAAAATATTTTCAAGGGCGATAATGGAACGATAACTCTTGTTTATGGATGCGTGTTATTTTACATGCACAGAAAACAATTTGTAATTGTGATTTAAAAAGCAGCGCTTCAGTATGTTTTCTAATGGGAATTAGATAGGTATGAGAGTAAATATTATTTTTATATATACCTCATATTTCTAATTTAATTGTGAGATAAAAAATAATTAATCTTTCTATTTACCATATCAAATTTTCTTCACATCATGATTTGACATATTATTCATTTCTGAAAAAGTAAGCAACGCTTCATACTTCAAACTATTTTCCATTTGAATTTAATGCTATAGTTGTTGCTGAAAATCAATGTCTGGATTTTTAAAAAAAAGTCGTGAAATTTGGAGCAGAGGGATATTGCCCCTTAACTGCATATTAGGTGATACAATTGTTGCATCTATTTAGCATAAAATCAGGGCATGCAGCTTTACAAATTTTAATGAAAAAGTTTTGCAATTTCGATTGGTTTTCTCCGTTGCCAAGTAATGAAAATGGATACCTTGCTAAATGGATATTTTTCGTGTTTTATTTTTTCAGATCAAAGTGGTATCCATGGGTATAATACGGTAATCATGTAATAAATAGAAAATTTGCATACCAGTATTTTAATGGATTTAAATTTTACCTTTGTCAGCAACCTTTAAAGCTCAAATTCATTAAAAGATCTAACGATCTTTATTATTTTTGAAGTAGATATTGAACTATAATTTAACGGTATTTAAACTTTATTATAACATTCCTCTAAGCTTGAAAGAAAAAAATACTAATGAAAGACTTCTCTCTGTTAAACATAAATTGCAATGAATATTAAGGCTTGAAAGCAAGAATAACTATCCTCAAATTTTTAAAGAAGTTTTGTATATCCAAAAACAAAACAGGTAAATCCATTATTATAATAACAGAAATAACAAATATAATAACAATGGCGCCTATATATCCTGCCACGACCGCAGATTCCCGCTGATCGGGGGCACATGTCCGTGAACGTACGATGGACGACAGGTTTTTCTTTTCCAATGACAATTCAGTTTGAATTTCTTTGATGCTGTTTTCCAAGTTTAAGCGATGGAGAAGTTGGTTGGTTTCATTTTTCCAGAATTCTACCTTGGCTTGAAAATCCGCTGAACAACAGCAATTCTGATCTGAGTAAAAATTAAACCATTAAAAGTCTCAGATATATGTTTAGACGAGTTTGTGAGATATGTTGTTTAGATTTATAATCAAAATTTTGATTTGCGTCCCACATCCATGAGCTAACTTTTAAAAAAATGTTTGAAGCATTGTTTTACAAGGATGTCTGTAAACTAGTTGTCCAGTAATATGATGTTTGGAGAGGGGACAGGAAGAGCTTCAGTAGGTATAAACAGGTTTCTCACAAAACGAAAGTCGTCGGTAAGCAAAACATGTAGTCTGAGAATAACCATATAATAATGACGTTTAAGACTGTAGAATTGTTCATCATTCATAAAAAAGTATTCATTGAACTAAGCTGAAAGTGGATATTTGTTAAAAAAAATCCAACCAGTAGACCTTTCGAAATATATTACTGTAAACCAACTATTCGCGAGCGAGAAATATAACAGCGAATTACACGATCTTCTACTGCCCACGGTTTATTCTCGCTGCAACTCATTACTTTTTTGTTCTTGTGTAGAAAGCCTTCCAAATTGTAAATCTCGAATAAAATGTGTCGCGAGTAGCAACTTCCTTATAAAAATTGAGTGAACATTAAAATTCTAGATTTTAAATACATCTTTTAAAAAGTTGAATGAGAACAGTACTTCTGTACGTATGCGAACACGAAGAAAATGGAATGGAACACATTCTCAGAGGAGAAGACAAGACGTAGCCTTCTGATGGCAATCAGAAACTAAGAAGGCTAAAGAGCAATCGAGGAAGTACAAGATGAAAATGAGCAGGTTGGCTTAGTATGCCACACACACAACAACTGAAGACCAAAGGAAATGTAAAGAAATTATTGCAGCCCTTTTTTTATCCTCTTGCGCAGAGAGAAAGAATGTGAAGAACGAAAAGCGAAGATTAATGAAATTCGGCTGTAAATTTTTTTTGAGCAATCATATTTCATTAACCTTCACTTTTCGTTCTTAAACTTACATTTCCTTTCCAGTTTCTGTTTTGGTGGCATTCTAAGACAACCAGCTCATTTTTTTCTGTATTTTTCTTTCTTTCTTTCCTTTTTTTTTTTTTTTTTTTTTTTTTTTTTTACAATTATGCATGTTGAAGTAAACATTAATTAAATTATCAATTTAATAAAATTATATTCAATATTACACAAATATATCATTTATAAAACGCAGGAAGTCGATATCATTACTTGTACTGAAGTTGACTTAAGTACAAAAGCCTTTTGTCTGTAAACTATAAAAAGAAAAATATAGATGTGTGCATGACTTACTCATGTTACTGGCGGTAATTAGATTAATGAAAAACAAATTCCCTTACATGTCGTTTGTATTTGATCCTTTCCGATAAAGCAATCTGTTAATCTGTTGTAAAATTCTTTGTAGTTGTTTTGATGTTGCTGTATGTGATTTTTTTCAAAAAGATTTTTACCAATAAATTCTGTAACTTAAATACCTGTTGTATCTGAAGGCTGATTCATTGTTGAGATTGTATATTTCTCTGTATTCGTAGTAGCAGCTGGCTCTGTACTCGCGGTTGTTGTTCCTAAAAGTGTAAAGTGAGTAGGTGTACTAGATGATAACTCATTATTCCTCAAGAAAGAAGCGCGAGAAATGAAACTTTGTTGAAATCATTTCTATTACCTCTGAATGAAAACAAAAGGTATTGTGAACATTTCACTTAAAACAATGGAACCCTTAAGGCCTTTTTCAAACTTTCATACGCGTATGAGAATTAAGACAAAGTCCCTAAAATATGTTTTTTTGTAATGGGAAACCCCATACATATATATTTGTTCGATGAACCCTCCCTATCCCCCCCCAAAAAAAAAACCGTTGGTCATGCTATGATTAACCAGATTTCCCCCTTGCAAAACCTACAGTAACCCCGCTCTACCCCCAGGATTCATAATTTGAACAATGAAGAATGTACACTAGCCCAGGATTCTTCCACAAATGTTTCAGCTTTTCTGGCCCAATGGCTCTTTAGAAGAAGATTTTTAAAGATTTTTCCTAAACATTTCAATGTACAACTTTTATTCCCTACTGTGGTCCCGCCCTATCCTCGAGGGTTATGATTTTAATAAATAAGAATCTACATTACAGGATGATTCCACAAATGTTTAAACTTTTCTGTCCCGTTGGCTCTTGAGAAGAAGATTTTCAAAGATTTTTTTTCTATTTTTTAAATGTAAAACTTGGAATTCCCTTTTGTGGCCCCGCACTACCCTTTGGGATCATGATTTTAACAATTTAGAATCTTCACTGCCCAAGTAGGCTTCGACAAAAGTTTCAGCTTTTCTGGCCTGTGGCCCTTAAGAAGAAGATTTAGAAAAGATTTTTCGTATGTACATGTATATGGCTACACCCTACCTTCAGGGGTCATGATTTTAACAATTTAGGATCTGCACTACCCCTTGATGTTTTCACATAATTTTCAGCTTTTCTAGCCCAGTGGTTCTTGAGAAGAAGAATTTTTGATGGTCCCATCCTTTGTAAGCCCTTTCCTTTTTATCTCCCTTTGTATGGGGATTTTGCCATTCGGCTCAGGTGAGCTTTTCTGATCACATTTTGTCCGTCGTCCGTCCGTCTGTCCATCTGTCTGTCCGTAAACTTTTCACATTTTTCACTTTTTCTCAAGAACCACAGGGCCAATTTTGACCAAACTTAGTACAAGGCATTCTTGGGTAAAGGGGAATTTCAATTGTTAAAATGAAGGACCAAGTCCATTCATAAGGGGAGATAATCAAGAAAAGACAAAAAAGGGTGGGGTCATTAAAAAATCTTCTTCTCAAGAACAACTGGGCCAGAAATGGTGAAACTTATGTGGAAACATCCTGGGGTAGTGTAGATTCTTAATTGTACAAATCATGAACCCCGGGGGTTGGGCGGGGTCACAATGGGGAATCAAATTTTTACATAGAAATATATAGGAAAAATCTTTGAAAATCTTCTTCTCAAGAACAACTAGGCCAGAAATGCTGAAACTTATGTGGAAGCATCCTGATGTAGTGTAGATCTTAACTGTACAAATCATGACCCCCAGAAGTTTGGCGGGGCCACAATGGGGTATCAAAGTTTTACATAGAAATACTCAGTATATAGGAAAAATCATTGAAAATCTTCTTCTCAAGAACAACTGGGCCAGAAATGGTGAAACTTATGTGGAAGCATCCTGGGGTAGTGTAGTTTCAAATTTGTACAAATCATGACCCCCGGGGGTTGGGCGGGGCCACAATGGGGAATCAAAGTTTTACATAGAAATATATAGGAAAAATCTTTGAAAATCTTCTTCTCAAGAACAACTGGGCCAGAAAAACTTAAACTTATGCGGAAGCATCCTGGGGTAGTGTAGATTTCAAATTGTCTAAATTATGAGCAGTGGGGTAGGGGGGGGGGGTCACAATATTTATTATAAGGGGGAAATCTAGTAAAGAACAGAATGGTCGAAGCTTCTTAGCATCTTCGCTAGTCAAGGGATTCTGATTCGCTACTCTCCTCATAAACCCTTGGCATACGGTGAAGTCAAAAGATGGGATTGTTTCCGTCACGCGATTTCGAATCAAATCAGGAAAGCGCAGACTGTGTCATCGACAGAAATAACGACGCGTGTTTAAAAAAATTAAATCAAAGTGTTTTTTCAAGAATATTAAAGAAGCAATAATTGATTTATGTTCATTAATTATTTATAGTACAAATCGGAAGCTTCAATATAGGTTCTTAATCACATAATTAGAAGAAATAGGATGACACCATTCTATTCATGGAATCGCAAAGTTGTTTTCTTGCGTTTTTCATTTCTCTTGTTTTTTTAACTTTTTAAATCTACATTATCCACAGAAGCTTTGTACCGATTTAGGTAAAAATTGGCTCAGTGGTTCTTAAACAGAAAATATTAATATAAATATGAATAGTTTAGAGAAGTACACATGTGTGTTTAGAAAAGCTTATTTGAGCTGTCAGCTCAGGTGAACTTAAAAGGAGTTGAATTAATTTTTCTCCCAGAAACATCAAATATATTAGTATTGTGAAATCGACACATTTGTTACTTTGTAGAAGATTATTTCTTCAAGCTTGAATACTGATATACTCTTACAAGTCGTTTGTATTTGATCCTTTCTGATAAAGCAATCTGTTGTTAACTTCTTTGTAGTTGCTTTGATGTTATTGTTGTGGTCTTTATTTATTTTTACCAATAAATTCTGTAATTTAAATACCTGAAGTGTCTGGTGGCTGATTCGTTGTTGAGATTGTATATTTTTCTGTATTCGTAGTAGCAGCTGGCTCTGTACCCTCTATTATTGTTCCTAAAAGTGTAAAGTGAGTGGGTGTCATTGTACTAGATGATAACTCAGTGTTCCACTAAGAAGAAACGAGATTAATAAAAACCCACTTCATGTTTTAAAACTTTGTTGAAATCATTTCCATTACCTTTGAATGAAAACTAGAGGTATTGTGAACATTTCACCTAAAACAATTAAACCCCTCCAAAATGTCCACTGAGAATTAAGGCAAACTCTAAATTGTTTTTTGTGATGGAAAACCCCAAATATCTGTCCGATTGACCCCTTCCCCAAAAAATAAATTTAAAAAGCTAGAGCGCCACTGGTCACATCGCTTTCCTGAGTAACTTTGGCCTGCTATGCTTTACCTGATTTCCCCTTTGTAATACCTTCTTTGACCTCCCTCTGCCCACAGGTTGTACATGATTTGAACATGCAATTTAGAATCTACACTACACCAGGATGCATCCATATAATTTAAGATTTTTTAGCCCAATGGCTTATGAGAAGAAAATTTTTAAAAAGATTTTCCATATATATTTAAATGTAAGACTTGAATTCCCTGTTGTAACCCCGTCCTACCCTCGGGGGTTATGATTTTACCAATTTAGAATCTACACTACCCAAGGAGGCTTCCACAAACGTTTCAGATTTGAGGCCCAGTGGCTCTTGAGAAGAAGATTTTAAAAGATATTTCGTATATACATGTATTTCAATGTAAAATTGGATTCCTTATTGTGGCCCAGCCATATCTCTGGGGGTTATGATTTTTTAAAATAATTTAGAATCTACACTACCCCCATGATGTTTCCACAAGTTTCAGTTTTTCTGTCCCAGTGGTTCTAAAGAGGATTTTTTGATGACTCCACCCTATTTTTATCTTTTATTGATTATCTCCTGATATTTCCACTTATAATGAGACTTTGCCCTTCATCTTACAACTTAAACTCCCTTCATTCAAGGATGCTTTGTAACAAGTTTGGTTAAAATTTACCCAGTGATTCTTAAAAGGAAGTTAAAAAGTGAAAAGTTTACAGACACATGGACGGACGGACAGACACAGACAGACAAACAGACGACTGAGAACAGGTGATCAGAAAAGCTCACTTGAGCTCTCAGCTCAGGTGAGCTAAAAAGGAGTTGAGTTATTTTTTTCTTCCAAACACATCAAGGATAGCAGTATTGTGGGTTCAGCACTTTTGTTATTTTGGAGAATATTATTTTCCATAAGTTGGTATGCTGATTCATACTTGATCGTATGATCAAGTTTGAGTTTATCAGAAAGCTAAGATTAACAGAGTATAAAAATATATGACAGTAAAGATTTTAATTATTTTGACTGTAGCATTCTGTTTTTATGATATCAATAAAACACTTAAAAAATGGTTAGCTTAGTCCTACTTGAGCCACGGACGGTTGTAAAATTTGTTGTATAACTTAGAAATTCCTTTTCAATAGCATATAATAATTTGTACAAGGTTTAAGAAGACAAAAGAGTTGCCAGTAGTTTAATCATTAATTGGATTGATTGTTTTAGTGAAGAAAGGGAGTTGATTAAAAATGACGTTTATTCTGTTGCTTAGTGAAAGCAAGCTGCTGTGGAGGCGTGTCCTTGGATGAGCAATTTGATATGAAAGATCGACATCTTCATTAGAAAAATAGTTGAATATCTTAACTGTTATTAGACCCCCCGAATATCGTTTACTTAAGACTTTAAAACATATCAGATATGATTAAAAGAAGGCAGCCATTCTATATTCACATAATACAAACGAAGTTTCTAAGACACAGGTTGTGATGGTTACCATGCTCTTCCTAGGAAAGGATATCCTTATCCACCCGTCTTATTTCCAAGATCAAACCATTTCTGACAAATGGACTGTATTTGTTATAAAAAAATAACTTGCATGCGATGATGGTAAAAAAAAGACTTAATAAAAATATTTGAGGTTTAGTGAACAGAATGCTAAGGAGCATTTCACGTGACTACTTGGATCACCTGATTCGCGCATGGGTAGAACGGTGGAACATGTGCATCACTCTAAGCAATAATGTCCATTGAAAACTAATTTTCATTGTTTTTTGGAAGTTATTTAATTAGTTCAAGAGTTTTTGATCACCCCTAATATAAATCCACTTTAAAAATTTCTAGCTACAAATACAATATAAACAGATATATGGGGAAATTTACACAAAAAATAACAGATTTCTGATCGTTTGGATACCTTGGCTTGAACTTTTACAGGCATCACCTAGAAAGAAAACATATAAAACATTGAAATCAACCAATCAATCCAAATAAAATAAACAGTGAGAGCACCAGTTCGATTGAAATTAGTTGATGCTCTTTGTTTCAGCTTGAGGTTATGAAAATTATAATTTGAAAGAGACATCATTGCTTATAATACCAAAACATTTGATTTTCCATAAATACACAGGAACAGAGATTTTCCTGAAAATAGTGCATTTTCACGTAAAATCAATAGACTCCGTCCTAGTACCAGAACGCCTGACCCTGGAGTTATGAAATTCATAATTTTGACAGCTTTTTTGCTCCTCCCTCATATCATGAACTTATTTTATCTGATTAAGGATAGAGAAGAATATATTTGAAGAATACTCGTATATGCATTTTCACTACATGATCATTAGAGCCCCACCTAACACTTAAACATCTTACCCTTGAGATTTGAATTTCGGACTTTCGGTAGAGAGATTTTAACAAGAGGCCCAAGGGCCACATCGCTCACCTGAGCACATCGGCTAGGAAAAAACACATATCAGATCAGAACTGAAAGTTTACTGAAAGGGGCTTCAATTGTAATACTATTTGAGAATGCCTTCATATCAATAAAGCATATGACTTTGCTGTTATTGATAAAAAGATTTCTTTTTTAAACATTTTGTTCCTATATATTATTTCATAATAATTTGAATTTAATTCCCCATTGTTTCCCTCCCTATCCTAAAGGGCCATGATTTTCAATACATGAGGATGCTTACACGCTTATATGACTAAACATAGCTTTTCTGTTCTTGGGATTTTCCCTTTATTTTTCTATGTAAAACTTTGATCCACTATTGTTGCTTCACCCTACCCTTGGGGGTTATGATTTGAACAAATTTGATTCTACACTACCTGAGAATGGTTCCATATAAATACTAGTATGTGTACCACTAATCATGGCTTTGCTATTATTGATAAGAAGACTTTTTAAATATATTTTAATGTAAAACTTGGATCCCGCATTGTGGCCCCACCCTATCCCTGGGATTGTGATTTGAACAAACTAGAATCTACACTACCTGAGGATGATTCCATATAAATATCTCTAATCATGGCTTTAAAGTGCTTGAAAAGAAGATTTTAAAAGTTTTCCGCATATATTCCTATGTAAAACTTTGATCGGCCATATTGGCCCCACCCTACATAGGGTATACCCCCAGGGGACATGATTTGAACAAACTTGAATCTACACTACCTGAGGATGGTTCCACATGAGTTTCATCTTCCCTAGCCCGGTGGTTCTTGAGAAAAAGATTTTTAAAGATTTTTCCTATATACTCCTATGTTAATCTTTGATCGGCCATTTTGGCCCCATCCTACCCCCTGAGGTCATGATTTGAACAAACTTGAATCTACACTACCTGAGAATGGTTCCACATGAGTTTCATCTTTCCTGGCCCAGTGGTTCTTGAGAAGAAGATTTTTAAAGATTTTTCCTATAAACTCCTATGTAAATCTTTGATCGGCCATTTTGGCCCCACCCAACCCCTGGGGGTCATGATTTGAATAAACTTGAATTTACACTACCTGAGGATGATTCCACATGAGTTTCATCTTTTCTGGCCCAATGGTTCTTGAGAAGAAGATTTTTTAAAAATGCCATTAATTTTTCTTTAATTCATGATTATCTCCCCTTGGAAAAGGGCGTGGCCCTTCATTTGAACAAACTTGAATCCCCTTCACCCAAGGATCCTTTGTGGCAAGTTTGGTTGAAATTGGCCCAGTGGTTATTGAGAAGAAGATGAAAATGTGAAAAGTTTACGACGACAACGACAACGACTACAACGACAACCACAGACAACGGACAAATTTTGATCAGAAAAGTTCACTTAAGCCTTCGGCTCAGGTGAGCTAAAAAGCCAGTAGTAGTCATGCCGACAGCTCAACATGCAGCTTGATATCCAGCGTTAAATAATAATTTTAAAGATTGCATTAATTTCGAAGGTTTAAGTCCGACCTCCCCCCTCCAATAACCCTTAACCCACAGATGCTTTGTGCAAAAATTATTGAAATTAGTTCTTTGGATCCAGAGGAAAAAAACTGAAAATGTTCAAATATTCAAGCACGACGCAATTAAAACCCACAACTGCATTAAGACGGACAAAACAACCGTTACTGGAGTGGTTGACTCATGATCTTATAAAATACAAATTTAAACTAGGGCTAATTGTAACGGGAACCGTTACAGATGTTCCCCAAACGCTCCCCAACTCCCTTTTGGTGCTATATTCCCTTAAGCTCTAGTAAATAAGACATACTTTATGTAATTAAGACTTAAGCAACGTTTTCCCAGAAGGATACAAAATATATTTAAATTTTAGCATTGCACGCATGCTCATGTAAATGCAGGTGCGTAATGACCATATAATCTTGTCTACACTATCTATCTATTTTAATATACTTAATATCGAAGCATTTAATCTAAAAGTATTAAAAAATACACTCATTTAAGCGTATTTTTAATTTTACGCATTTCACGTGCACGCATGTGCAAGCATGTGCATGATGACCATACCTTCTTGTAGGAGTCCATTATGTCTATCTATATTCTAAATACCATCCTGTTTCGTTGAAAACCAAGGGAGTTATAACCATTTCAAGTTTAAGCCAATCAGATTGCAGCGCACGTGCATGCACGTGATTTAATAACAATTGTTATATATCATATTGTAGGATATCCTAAAGTATGCCTATCTTTTAAATTTCGACAAAAAAACAGAAAAGATATTGAGATTTTTGTTACAGCCAATCAGAGCGAAGCACACGTGAACGCATGTGCATGCATGTGCATGACGACCATACCCTCTTGTAGGAGTCTATTATGTCTGTCTATGAACTAAATCCCATCCTGTTTGGTTGAAAAACAAGGGAGTTATAGCCATTTAAAGTTTCAGCCAATCAGACTGCAGCGCACGTGCATGCGCGTGTTTTCATGACAACCTTTATATATCATATTGTAGGACATTCTAAAGTATGCCTATATTTTAAATTTCAAAGTATTTCGTCAAAAAACAAAAAAGATATTGAGGTTTTTGTTTCAGCCAATCAGAGCGCAGCGCACGTGCATGCGCGTGAGTTCGTGCTAATTTGACCATGTCATATTATCAACACTATTAATATATCCTTATATAATGAGTTTTAAAGAATTTCATCAAAAAATGTAAAAGTTATGGCTATATAAAGTATATCAGTCATTTCACTCATTTCACGCGCCCGCACGTGCATGCGTATGCGCGCAAAATAACCTTCGTTCTGCACACCTACACTACACACCTATTAACCCTAAAAAGGTTTTAGCTCAGTTGGATGAACAGTTTCTGAGAACACTCGCGGACAAAAAAGTACCGGAGAACAAAGAAGAAAAAAAAGAATAATAATAATAATAACTAGTGCTAATTGTAACGGGCACCGTTACAGATGTTCCCCAAACGCTCCCCCAACTCCCTTTTGGTGCCACATTCCCTGTAAGCTTCATTGAATAAGACAAATTCTGTGCATTTTTTACTTTAACAACGTTTTCTCAGAAGGATACCAATTATATTCAAATTTTAGCATTGCACCCAATCGCATGTGCGTTAAGATCATATCATCTTGTCTACACTATTTATCATATTTAAATATAGTATATATTAAAGCATTCAGTCCAAAAGTATTAAAATCAGGCATTCAAGTGTTTTAATTTCACTCATTCCAAATGCATGCACGTGCGTGCACGTGCATGACGACAATACCTTCTTGTAAGAGTCCCTTATATTTATCTATGTTCTTAATCACATCCTGTTTGGTTGAAAAACAAGGGAGTTATAGCCATTTCAAGTTTTGACCAATCAGATTGCAGCACACGTGTATGCGCGTGATTTCATAAATATTTTTCTGAATAATATCGTAAGATATCTTAATGTATGACTATGTTTTAAATTTCAAAGCATTTCATCAAAAAACAAATGAGATATAGCCATTTAAAGTTTCAGCCAATCAAATTGCAGCACACATGCATGCGCGTGATTTCATGAAAAATTTTTTATATCATATTGTAGGATATCTTAATGCATGACTACGTTTTAAATTTCAAAGCATTTTGTCAAAAAATAAAGGATATATAGCCATTTAAAGTTTCAGCCAATCAGATTACAGCACACGTGCATGCGCGTGATTTAATGAAATTTTTTATATATCATATTGTAGGATATCTTAATGCATGACTATGTTTAAAATTTGAAAGGGTTTCATCAAAAAACAAAAGAGATATTGAGATTTTAGTTTCAGCCAATCAGAGCAAAGCGCACGTGCACGCGCGTGAGTTCGGTCTAATTTGACAGTGTCATTATATTAACAATATTAATATATCCTCATGTAATGAGTTTCGAAGCATTTCATCAAAAAATGTAAAAGTTATGGCTATATTAAGTATATCAGTCATTTAACTCACTTCACGCGCCCGCACGTGCAGGCGTATGCGCGCAAAATGACCTTCGTTCAGCACATCTACACAACACACCTATTAACCCTAAAAAGGTTTTAACTTAGTTGGGTGAACAGTTTCTGAGAACACTTCCGGACAAAAAAAGTCCGGAGAAGAAATAAGAAGAAAAAAAAATAATAATAATAATAAGAAACAGAGTAAAAACAATATGTTCCCCAACTTCGTTTGGGGAACATAATAATAATAATAATAATAATAATAAGAAACCGAGTAAAAACAATATGTTCCCAAACTCCGTTTGGGGAACATAACGAGGGGGGACTTAAATGACTTACCTGAAAAAGTACTGTGAGAAGGATCCATAGCTACGAATTCTGTAATGAGTGAATTATAGTGGGTAAGAAATTATATCTCTGTTTGTATACAATTTTTATTTTATTCTATAAATTTAACGACCATGTTACATTTGTGTCAATAACATTCTCTAAAGTAATATTTATATATTTAGATTATATGCAAATGACGTAGACATTTTACACAGCACACAGGCATCGAAACCCCGGGGAGGGGGATGCTAAGCCCCCTCATTTTTGTAAATGTACACATAATATAGGTATTGAACATTGGGCGTAGGTTAGCCCCCCCCCCTTCCCCTACACACACACCCTCTCACACACATATATACACACACTTTCAACAGGCACGTTACAGCGTTATGAAAGAAGGGTAAATGGTAGTGTTTGAAAGAAATTGCTACTGAGAGTTCGATCCTTCTTGCTACCCCCACCCCGATGAGATAGGATTTTCGTATTTGGACACATTTCAATTTTTTTTGTCTTGTCAAGTTTCCGACGCCAATGTTCTAAAAAATATCAGAAAAGGAAACACTTACGTTGTGAATACCATGGGCTGTTACAAGGTGTGTATTCTGACCCTATATAAAATGCATTTAAAATTTTAAATAAAAACAAATTTTGCATTGTACTTGTAAAGTTATATATTGCATTGTACTTGTAAAGTTTAATAAATTTTGATCCTAAACAAAATGCTTATATGCCCCTAAAAATCTTTATTCATTATAAATGACCTTCGTTTCAACACATTGAAAAGGATCGAAAAACCTATAATCTATGTTCAACAACTTTCATAATACATGTATATGTTATATAAATATATAAGTCCCCTACTTATGTTTCACTAATGGATATCTTTTTATCACGTTATTATATACCTAAAACTTGGAATCCATTTCACGATAAATAATCCATTTTCTATCGCTTAGAAAAAAGCTGTAAAAACGTTTTTTTTTATTATACATAACTAAAAACTAGTTCTAAACCTTTTAGAATTCATTACAAGACTTTAATTCATCTACATCTACAAAAAAAACTATCTTCAGTAAGATACTTATACTAGTCTATTAGAATTAAATGCATACCTGTACAGGTACAGAGTTTACTGAACGATGTTAGTGTAGGTTCGATGGTTTTAGCGATTGATAAATTAGTTTTTCTCCATTCACCATTTTTACAGAAACAAAATTCCGTATCGTCACATCTTCCGGCGATGTCACCTACGGAACAACCATCAGCTGTGAATACAAAATATCAGGGGAAAGTTTAAAACTCTCTAACGGAATAAAGAACAATCCAAAAGCTTTTACATGATGTGTACGAGGGATGTTCAATAAATAATGTCCTGGGGCCCGTTTCACAAAACTATCTTATGACTACGATCTGTCTTAAAACCGAAAATTATCGTAAGATTGCACCATAACCGTTTCACAAAACTGTCATATCTTATGATAATCTTAAGATCTATCATAATCTTAAGACAACTAGATACATGTCTAAGTCTAAAGTGAAACTTGCGACAATATGTATTTTGGCTAAAAACCATAGGATTTTTAAAGAAAACGGTTTTAAGAGATAGAAAAATCCTTTGGACTATACGATATACGGCCATTCAGAACAATGACACCACCTCCCAACCCCAACCCCCAATAATTTGCCAAATAATATACGATAGAAAAAAGAAAATGTGCATAATCTATGTTTTTCCACTTTATTCATTTCAAGACATGTTTCTTTGGTTGTGACCCTCCCAACTAAAATTCCAACACACCCCCCCCCCCCCCAAATAAAAAAACCAAATGCTTCTTAGGTCCATGTGCTTTTTTAGTTAATGAATTTTAATATAATTTATTTTGTTACATTGCGGCAGACAATATATAAAAAGTTTTTATTTGTTTCTTATTGACCTGATTTAATTTCAAAGCAAACATTTCATTCAGTCGTACAAAATTACCGGTAGATGAAAATCAAATAGTTTAATTTCTGAGGTACTCTTATTAATCAATCGGAATGTTTATGACTATTAAACATGCTGTAATATTTGATGCTGTATGTACATGCTTTCTTTATGTTTTTTCTATAACAGTATTGAAATCGCAAAATTTTGATTGGAAATTTTTCTTTCGTTTCTCTTCTACATCTGTTTGCATTGATATTTTGTTGCAGTAATTGAAGCGTTTCAAAGAAACGTACCTGCATCGAATTTATTTTATGAACGAACTTTGAACAAGATTTGGTGTTTCAAAAGGAATCATTGTTAAAATCGTTCATTATTTGCAAAGCGTCAGATACACTAGTGGTTTTAATTTAACGTAATCACATGTATTTTGACAGAAACTACTACATGTATTTCCTGAGCAAAAATATATTTAAGCAAATTTTATTTATTAATTTATTGTAATGAAATTAATTCAAATTTAATTTTAATTATCCCCTCCCTTTCTGAGCACAAACACAAAGTACATTAATTTGATGCATTAAAATGTTGTTTTTTTTTCGAGAGTATATATCTGCAAAAGAAACTCTATATATGAGACACACATTATTTAAAATAAAATTGAAGAAATACTTCGTGAAATAATATTTTTAAAAAATCCCTGTGGTATTGAAATATGTAATTTGTCTTAAGACTTGTCTTAAGATTTCTAATATTTAAGATAGTTTTGTGAAACAGCAGTGACAAATCTTATGATTGTCATAAGTCAGATCTTTTAAGATGATCGTAAGATCTATCGAAGGACAATTCTTATGATAGTTCTGTGAAACGCGGCCCTGAACTGTATGACATACAATACAGATATCATATGACATTAAACTCGAATTTCTCTCATAATTGAATCTTTAATGAATTTATAACAGTTTATGTGACCACTTTTCATCACATAGTTTAATTGTGAGAAGCTAGGAAACAAGGGCTGTTCGAGACACTGCATTATAAATGAATGGTAAAGAATCGGTAAACTAGAGTGAAAATAAATGCTTCATCAAAGCTGCTGTAAAACTTGTTAAAAATCCCAAATAAATATTCACTGAAATATGTGATATTTACAGCAACCAATGCCTGTTTTATAGACATATGAGCAAGTGGAATTCAATGATAAAAAAAATAAATAATGGGCATAAAAAAATGGGTACGGTCCTTGCCAACAAAAGAATTATAACAACTTATGTAATGTTTGCCAAATTTCAACAAATAATACTTGATGATGTTGGATTGACTTTTAGACACATAGCAAATTTGATAGACATCACATCGGGAGTAGTTTACACTTTTTAAAAGAAACGTTTGACGGTGAAAAAGCTTAGTACTCAAAGGTCACCCTATATTTAAAAAAATAAGTGAAAACGACAGCGTGTACTAATGTCTTAACATTAAAAAAAATATCAGTAATTGGAATTATCCAGGTTTTTTGATATTCAAACAGATAATGAAACTTGAATCTATTGCGTAAAATCATCAAAACAAAATTTACCATAAGATGTACTTGACAAAAACAGCGAAGTTCTGGCGAGAGCAAAGAATTGCAAGAGCACAAAGAAAGATTAATATGCAATCCTCTTAAATATTAGTGGTATTGTTAATCAAATATATATTCATGGAGACAGTTTAATTTCTGGAGGAGTCTAGAAAGCAAATTGTTTGCAAAAAATTCGAAAGGTTTACTAGAGAAAGGACCCAGAATCGGGAATCCACTACATTAAATTTTTTCTTCCAAACCCGTACGCCCTGAAGAGAAAAGAGATTTTCGGGATAAATAGATGGCTAATATTTTTTCACATTAACATTAACTTAATCCGTTTGACTTTTTTCTATTTCTAAACTTAAAAAAAACACCTTTAATAAGGAAGGAAAAAGTCCAGGAAATCATTGGATCTGCCATTTTCCAGTATACTAAGGGTCATACCCAAAAATGAGTTTTAAAAACAATCAGAAATTGAATAAAATATGTTACGGATATGTATTTTAATTAAAAGAGATTTATAAGTAAAATAATGAAGACTGAATCATTGAAAAGCGTCTTTTGCTTCTTTCCGAGCACCGAGGACATTATCTATTGAACAGCCCTCGTAATCGGCTAGACTCATCGTAAACTAAGAGAGCATTCAAACTATACTGACAAATTGGTTAAACCTGGCATGTCATGGAAACAATATACCTTCTATTTCCTTTGCCTGTAATTTTCAAATTCTTTTATTATACTAACAACAACAACAAATAATATAAATTCAGTATCAAATAAAGAAATTTTATATCTTTCTAGTATTACAATATTAATAATTGTGATATTTTAAAGTACTAAATGTTGAATTTTATTAGTAAAACATTTGTTTTTCTCCAATGAAAAAATATTCATAAGAAATAAATCTCTTGAAAACATATGTATTCCATTCTTACAACTACATTTAACATTGTGTGATTCTGACTCTGGAAGCAGTGCTTTTATATGATTTATATCATGAATTTGACACTAAATTTCGTTTTCTTACTTTTTATTTTATGTTTTGATAATTAATAATTACTTTTTATCGTCTCTGTGAAAGTTTCCTCAGATGATGATCTGACTTAGAAATCAATTCTGAAAAAAGCAGCGCTTCATACCTCATACCATTTTCTATTTGTAGCTAATGCTATAGCTCTTGATGAAAATCAATGTTGGGAAATTTAAAAAAAAAAGTGAAATTTAGAGCAGAGGGTTATTTAATGCAATTGCTATGGACGCGGATGTCATTCTATGACTGTGTAAACAGATAATCTTTTGTTTTAGAAGAAAAAAAGAACTCAAAAGTGATTTAACTCAATATTTTTGTCCCTGCCGCTGTCGGCAGGGGATGCTCACTCCTCCATGGCACCTGATCCAACCTCAGATGTTTTAAAGGTTTGTATTTGCTCTGCTCTTATTTTGTGTCTTGTTTTATGGACTTTTGAGCTTGAATACCCCGTGTTATCTCCATATAATTATTTCATTGAACCTCAGCTTAAAAAAATTAATGAATATTTAATTATGTATATCGAGGAAATAATTCGCTGAAGTAGCCGATATTTGATATAACATATTCAAACCTCATCACTAATTAGGTATACCAACACTTATCTTTAGAACTTTTTTTGGTTAAAACAATATTTTTCTGAACGTAATTTGACAGACAGAATCATCGATTAATCATTGTGCAAATTTTCTGGTCTAGGATATGATCAATGAGTAAAACCATGGCCCAGTAAAGTGATATTGCAGACTACAAATTACATGTATACAGGATCTATTTATTTCATAGAGGATAAAAGAATTTGCACAAGTGCAACAATTTATATCTTTGTTTTCAATGCTGTTAAACCACTAACAAAGATTGCATTATTTTTTGGCATGAAAACTCGCCGAATTTTTTTGCTCATTATGTGAAAAAGCAACCCTGCTCAAAATAATAATAAAATATGACATTGGTAACTATGATTTTTAGGTAGGAGTATACACGTAATTAGCAATAACGATTTCATTTCGTTAAGAAGAGGTTCATATCCTTTGTCTCTTCTCTAGGTTAATATTGTTATAAGGATGTCTTTAAGGCACCTTATAGTCAATTTTTGTTGCATAGATACAGAATATATAATAAATCTGCTGCTGAATTTGAGTATAGATCAAAATATTGAACTTTCCGTTCTTTGTAGAAATAGATACCTTACAAATTAGTATGAAAACTTCGTCCAGTCTTCGACAAATGAACTGTATTTTACAAATAAGGCCATTGTATCGGCTCTTGACACTGAATTGACGACGGATTTCCATGTCATCATGACAACGAGGAAACGGGGGTGGGGGGGGGGGGTGACCAGTCGGCAGGGGATGCTCACTCCTCCTTCACTCCTCCTGGCATTTTATTCCACGTGTGATGTTTTGGAGGTTATCAAATAAAAATGAACCCTCGACATGTCTCAATATCGAACAGCTGTCGAAGGCCACAGCAAGATTGTTTTCAAGTTCTAGTGTTTAATTAAGTTTTGCCTCTCGAAAAATACAAATACAGGTCTGCTTATGATGGGTCCTACAATTAGAATCTACGGAATTTAAGTAGATGCCCGTTCTCTAAAGATTGCACGATTTTTCAAAATAAGAAATTCGAGCATCTTTTTGAAATCAACTTCGGTGTACTTGTCTAATCAGAGTATGCTTGTTGACCAATGACAATATATGGAAATTCGCAAGGTTCATCTAACGATTACACTGCTTCCCTATCCTCTAGA